TTTCAAATTTGATCTAATTTATCGTGCAAGCCTTGAAGATTTTAGCATTGATAAGTTCCATAGCAAATGCGATAATAGACTGAAGTAGACCCTATCCTATACATGATGCACAGTCATCCCGCTGCTGGGTATTTGGAAATAGATGCTATATACTATAAAATTAGAGGTAGCTGTGTAATGCAGTCATGTTAGAACCAGGAATATTGTGTAATTGTATATATGAGTCTGTTAAGGTATTGATTATATAAGGTGTTAGTTTTATGATGTTTATTTTGTTAAAAGTAGAAAGTTGGCTCAAATTATTAATATTAGTGATAGTTTTTTGTAATTAAGTATCAATAGACGAATTTTATATAATTTAAAAGTTTGTTTTCTTATTATCTTATTGCGAAATTTTTATATTTTTGTAATAGCATTTAGATATTTCAGGTTTGGTGTAATGATAATATAAATTGGTTATTTATATTATTGAGTTTAAGCAAATTTATTAGAAGTTTACTGTTAGTATGATTGAATATCTTAAGAATACACCTTTATAGTGATATTTCTTGAATGTGTATTAAGTTTGAGCTAATTAATTATATAGTTCTTATAAGTGTATTATTTTTTTTGTTGCTTATGAAGATGATATTAAATTTGATCAAAGTATATATGCTTATAAGGGTTTTGTTATAGACAAATCAATATATAGACTGATTGACTTCAAGAATTTAAATTTTAAAGTACAAGTTTATTTATTGGGAGTAGCAGGTATTAATTTTTATAATATGATATGTAGAGAGCAAAACTTTAGCAAATAATAGTATTTTCTTTGAGAATTATTAATTTTTATAATATATATAATAGATAAATTACAAAATCAGAGTACATAGATCTCATTTATTTAGGATAGCTAATATTTTGTATATATGTTTAAGCATATTAAATTGGTAAGTTATCAGGCCATCTTTCTAATTGAGCTGTTTTTTGAGCACAATTATTTAGGTAGTCAATTTCTTTAAAGAGAGTGGTAGGTAGTTTTAAGTCGAGTATAGATTCTTTAAAAGTTTTAATTTTAATAAATCTTCAAGCTTCTGCATATGAAAAAGCATAATATATATGCTGTTATAGGCACCATTATTAGATAAGTCAACAATAACTTTATATAATGTATGTTCTTGACATTTGTAATCTGTGAAAGCATAGGCATGTAAAGTTATTATCTAATTATAAGTCAGCTGAAATGGGCGACGAAGCCGCCCACATGATCATGTTCTAGTTACTTAATTACAAACTAAACTATTATAAGGTTACACAGCAGAAAAATAGTTAACTTTGTTACACAATTTTCGTAACACAGTTCTGTTTAACAGGATATTTGAATGAGCGCAGTTATTACAATTTTTAATTCATTAGCATTATCCATTAATTCATAAAAATGACTAGCGAAATTACTCAAAGTTCAGTTAAAGATGTTTCAAACTTACTTGAAAATTCAAGTTATGATGTAAGAATTAAAGTCGGTGAAGAACCAGATATTAAAGAATTTGAAGCACACTATATAGTCTTATCGTCAAGATCAAGATATTTTAAAAATGCGTTATCATCGCGATGGGCAAAGAAGGAGGATGGAATCATCATTTTTAATAAACCTAATATTTCACCGTCTGTATTTGAAATTCTCATAAAGTAAGTTTATATTTTTATAATTGTAATAGTAAATAAATAAATTTCTAAGGTATAAATCTAAAACTGTAATTTGTTTCCGTTAAATGAATAGCTATATTTATACAGGAACATTTTCAATTAAGAATAATATTAGTTTTATTGACATTTTTATAGCAGCTGATGAGATTGAATTATTTGAAGTTAATCAACTAGCTAAAAAACAGTTGCTTGAATTTGAATCAGCTTGGAAATTTCCAAAAGATTTTATTACAATATGTAAATACGATGTTTTCACGGATTTATATACAATTGCATTAGAACTTGTATGTAGAAATCCTAGAGTAATTTTTGAATCAAATGAGTTCCTAAAAATGGAGGAAGATGTTCTAATCCGACTTTTAAAATGTAAAGATCTTAGATTAGAAGAATTTGAAATTTGGAAATATTTAATTAAATGGGGAATCAAAAATACAGATTTTCCTTTAGATAATGATTTAAATAAATGGACGCAATCAGATTTTATAGAACTTGAAAAGCCTTTACATAATTTTATTCCTCATATTAGATTTTTCCAAATGTCATATTATGAAATTTATTTAGTTGTTACTCGATATAAAAAACTTCTGCCTGATAATCTTCTCGATAAACTTTATGAATATTTTTTAAGATATCCATCTAATGTTTTATCAAAAAGAGAATCAGCATATCCTTTCAATTCTAAAATTATTAGTGCTAAAGATGCAGCATTAATAGCAAGATGGATTGATAAAGAACAAGAAGGGCGCTATCATTTTAAAGATATACCTTTCAAATTTGATCTAATTTATCGTGCAAGCCTTGAAGATTTTAGCATTGATAAGTTCCATAGCAAATGCGATAATAAAGGACCAACAGTTGTTATAATTAAAGTTCGAAACTCAGGAGAAGTCATTGGCGGATATAATCCATTAAATTGGCGTAGTATGGAATTAATGAAAAATGGAAATTTACCATTTAATGTCTACAATGATTATAAATGCGAAACATCAAGAAGTTTTATATTTTCATTATTTTCATTATCAAATGGAACAATTCCCAAATTAAGTCATGTCACTTCTAAAAAAGAAGCAATTATTTGGTCTATAGATAAAGGCCCATGTTTTGGTTTACAAGATTTGTGGATATTGTATGATCATTCACAGAATGTTGCTTCTGGTAGATGTAAAAAGCACTCTTATAATGTAGGAATTATTGATAAAGATACTTTTGAAATTGAGGAATATGAAATATTTCAAATTACTGATAAAAAATTCTTACCTAAAATATTTAATCCTATTGTGAAAAGATGGAAAAGATGTGTAATATATAAATTATTTAAGCTTATCATATGTGGACTATGTAATATTATATATGGGCTAGGTGAATTATTTAAGATACCTATTTTTGCTTGGATGTTACTCGGTGTTTTTTACTTTGCACCCTTTATGAAATTTGCATTTGTTAATGTTGATGTTCGAGTAAAAGTTCTTGCGGCATTATTTTCTATTATTATTATTTTCTTATATACAATTTTGTTTGCATTTTTGTTCTTACGTTTTATTTATTTAAGATGGTGGTGTTGTATTTTTAACCTTCCAGTAATTTTTATGTTGTTTTTTCTGGCATTTGAGATATTTGAATTGATTAGTGGCACTGCTCTAGCGAAAATTCTTTTGGCATTATCTTCTGCAGCTATTACAGTTATTTTAATATCGGGATTAATTGCAATCGCGGCACTGAATTTCTATCGTTCTTAATGATTTAAATTTAGTTGTTTAACTCATTTGATTTTTAGTGACTTGTAATTATTTTGTTATATAAAAAAAAGTTAGGGCAATATAGTACGTACATAATATAAGTTTGGTCTACTCTACGTTCAGGGAGGTTAACAAATTTTTCCAATGTACTGTACCATGCCGTGGATTTGTCAAATTTACCAAATTTATTACCGATTTTCTACGATTGAACCCTAAAAAAATTATTTGCACTCTGATTTATAACAATGCGTCTATCCCATTTTTTCGTGGGTCTAACCAATTTTTCCCACTATTGCAATTATATTTTAAATAATCATTTCTTATAAATCTTACTGTATTTATTATAAATAAAATATTTATATAGATTTTGCCTATTTTAAAACATATCTGATATGTAAGAAAATTTCATATATAATTGAAGCTTAATTCGTAATCCGTGAGTAAGGGAAAGACTATGATTAATGATCGGCGGGGTGCATTTCGTATCAAAACAATCAA